CTGTGAATGTTAGCAATGTAAGATAATTAACTAACTCTATGCATTCTATTATTAAGCATATCAATACTTTTTTTTAGATTTATTTTCCAGCCCTTATTATTTTTGTAAATAACTCAAGGCAGCGAACATATCTATTCTTCCTCCTATTTTCCCCACAACAAAAACCCTGTGAGACAAGTTGGGCTGAGAGAGAGTCACCCAGCCGGCTTTCCTGCCTATGGTGGGACTGGAACTTGCAGTCTCCTGGTTTCTAGCCTGGTGCCTTAACCACTAGACCAACGTGCCGTAGACATATTCTCCTACTGTTAATTGTTGTTAAAAAGATAACGGTATTTGACATATAAGTTACACGTCTATTCCTACCTATATTTATTTATATTTTAAGTAACAACAATGAAACTGATGCTTCAACCTTGCAGTTGAAGGAGCCCACACACGTACAAAGTGTATGCATTACTCAAGCTGTGACAATGCAAAATTGAGAGGCAGAAATTCTGAGAAGGTCACCAGAAACAGATGGTTGTAACTTTGGGTGAGAGATTTATTCAGACAGACTTGAATTTTTCAAGATGTTTTTCATGTCCCCAAACATCTTGTGATTTGGGACAGGCCATTATTTCTTTACATTGACTTTTTCCTCCTTAAATAGTTTGATTATTATTGATTCAAAGTAAATTCCTCCTTTGTTCTATTGATATCAGTTCATAGCATTCCTTACACTATCAGTTCAATGTTGAAATCAATTATTTAATGTGTTTGTGTCTGCCTATACTGTATATATTGAAGCATATTTAAACTGTGCTTGTCCCATTGTTCATTCTGAAAATTCACATTTTTCGCACTTTATACTGCAGTTATGCTGCATTTCAGTTGTCCCTGGAAGTAAAGCCATTTACTCATAGTGGGACTCATATCTGAGTAGAGACCTGTAAGATTGCATGTTGAATTGAGAACTGTCTATAGTTTACTTTCCTCCTGGATTTTATGACGTTATTGAAAGTTGTGCATGGATTTTAATTGCAGAAACACTATACTGGAGCCTGGGATGAGGCCAAAGCAAAAGGTTACGACTTTAAAGTTGACGCTCTTTCATTCAAGCATGCAAAATCTTCCCGAGAAATTGCCAGTGAGGTATGAGCAATGTTGTTGAAATGTTGCCTCTAAAATGACTGTATCTTTTCATATCACACAGATGGCAGCGTGTGCAACCAGTTAACTTCATATCAAACACATTGATCTGACAATATACAAGTTGCTATTGTTCAAGGATATGATATTTTTTCACAATTACCTCCATTCTTTTACATGTATTTGTTTAGAAATTTGAGATTTAAAATTATATTAAAGTCAAGCAGTTTAATGCAACTTTATTCTGAACTGGCAAAGAGATAACCATTGAGATATTTAAGTAGAAGGGAATTTTTTTATGCCCTAATGATTTAGCATTCAATAAATGTTACTTTCTGCTGCCATTTTTCAATGGCAATGTTATTGTTTTTAAATGGTTTGAGATAATGTATCATATAACGTTGTTGCATAACTTACAAAACACCATTCCTAAAGTTCTGTGTCTTCAAATACTACTGAATGGTTAGTTATGAGTGATGAATTCTACTTGTTCCTTCACTCGAAATCCCCGGGTCATTAAAACAACATTTTCATATTAGGTGGAATTGTCCGAATTCTTTCAATGGCTCTTTCCTTTGCTTTCCTCTTCAGTATAAATACAAAGAAACTTACGAGAGACAGAAAGGTCATTACATTGGATTACCTTCAGTCAAGGCGGATCCTAAACTTTCATGGGCTGCTCGAGTAATGAAGATGCAAAACGACCGTCTCTATAAGCAAGCCTACCACAGGTCCAAAGCTATGATCACCATACCCGGTGACATGGTGGCTATCCAGGCAGCCAAGCAAGGCCAGGCTTTAGCGAGCGACATCGATTACCATCATTATTTGCACGAGTGGACTTGTCTGCCGGATCAGAACGATGTGATCCAAGCAAAGAAAGCATATGAACTTCAGAGCGATGTAAGTACACATGCGTTTTTCCAGATCACATAGACCCATCATGCCCAGGGACGGAACAACAGAGACCTTGAAGTGCACAGGTATAGAACAGATACATTGCACTTCAACTTCCATTGTGATGGCCAAAGAATCTTCCTCCCTGCTGGTTGGAAGTTATGAGAATTCAACTCCCCCATATTTGAAGAATGGAAGTTGGAGAAGGTGCTCTTGAGGATTATCTTAATGTTACTTTTATTTCGTTGATGACAACTGCCAAAAAGTCACCAGCGACACTCTTTCTTCATTGAAGTCTTCATTGAACGAAGCTAATCTTGGCAGGCCCTACCGGAACACCATGCAGTGATGGTGGAAATATTTTTAAGCGCCTTATTACAGAGATAGGAAATTTAAAAGTGCTTTGGCTTTCTAAAGTGTAGATGCTTGTAACAAATTTATGAACAACTGATTGGGCACATTCCAATATCCTTTTTAAATGTGCTTGCCCACGTTTTATTTCCTTGATCACTTCTGTTAAGAAATCATCAGATAACATTGTTTCCTCAGTGAAGCTTTGGTGAATCTAAATAGTCTTGGTGGGCCCTTCCAGAATACCACGCAGTGATGGTGAAAATATTGTATGTGCCTTATTACATAGAAAAGAATTTTCTAAAATGTCACATATTTATAGTATATTTATCAATAATCTACTGGATGTGGTTTAGTATCCTTTTTAAATCCGCTTCCCCCAATTCGCTTCCATTTAATTCTGTGGAATTTATAGGTTTATTCAGTGGATATAGAAAGACTTATGCAGCTTGTTTGGCATGTCATGCCAAGCTTTGGGATGTTTTCTCCCCATTTAATCAAGGTAATCAATGCAAATGGAAAGTGCTGCTAGATGTCAGAAGATTTATTATTTCTTCTGACTTCATTTGTCTAGTTTATCTCCCTTTTGGCTTAGGCTAAAGAAACTAAGGAGCACAAAAGCTCTTTAAAATAATTGAACATGAATTGGTGAGGATTGACCTCCCATTAGTTGTTATCACATAGGAATGTTTATTTTAAGAAGTATTTAACCAACTTGTTCTCCACTTTCTGACCTGCCATCTCATAGGCTCTGTATAAGTCAGATCTGGAATGGCTCCGTGGGATTGGATGGATGCCAAGCGGGTCTCCAATAGTGAAAAGAGTTAAACATGCCCAGGAAATCCTGAGTGACAATGTATACCGCACTCCTGCTGACCGTCTGAAGTTCACCAACATCACTGATACGCCGGACATTCTCCTTGCTAAAACCAATTCGGAGCAAATCAGTATTGTATGTTAATTCTTTTCAGTAGCCTGAAATATGTTCAGGACATTAAGTATTGCTAAAAATTGTTCATATCTGTTTATATGAAATTAGTTTTTTTCTCTTCAAAAGTTAAAAGGTGATTAGACAAGAATAAGACCAAATAAGCAAATAACCATTTGTTTTTTATTTTGTGTAGCCTAAATACAGAGAAGTTTGGGATAAAGATAAAGTTATGATCCATGTGATGCCTGACACACCTGAAATAATACTTTCCAGGGCCAATGCTATCAACGTAAGCAAGGTAAGTATATTTCTATAATGCTTCTTAGGATCTTTGTATTAAAAGTGCTTTACAAGTTGCATTTTCCCACATTATAATACCTCAGGTATTCTTAGCAGTCTACCTCTAAGGCTTCTGCTCTCACGGTCTTTTGAAATAAAATGGATATTCTAGCCAAAATGTGAGGAATATCTGTTGAATAAACATGACTGGATTTCTTAGTAACATCTTTTTTGCTTTACTGGAGCCCAGCTGGCAAGCTGTTAAATATCCCAGTTCAACTCATTATGACAATACTGGTGTTTTTTATACTTTGCAAACTGTAAGTTGCCTTGTGCAATATCTTCTGACTCAGAATAAAACTTAGTTTTGATACAGTGTGATACAATCTATAGTATGCCAGAATACATGGCGTAACTTGGAGGCTGATCTTCTGTAGTCTTAACTTCATTAAAAGTAATACTAGAAATTCATGAAATTTTCATTCATTAAACATCATTCAAGAAATACAAAATGAAATGCATCACCCCTTCCAAAGCAAGCTGTTATTGCAGGAGCATATTGAAAATATTGTTGAGTTTTAATGTTTTTTTGCAGAAACTCTACAGGGAAGCTTGGGATGATGTAAAGAAATACATTGATTACAGGTCAGATGCAATTCCAATCAAAAGAGCCAAAGCCTCCAGAGAAATTGCCAGTGATGTAAGTAGGCAAATACATTTTCTTATCTTGGGGTGGAGTGTGGTTATCAACTCTAGACCTTGGTCAGGCTAAATGGTAGGATTATATAGGAAACACACATATATATATATATCAGTTCAGTGCAAAATAAGAGACTTCAGGCATGCCTTCAAACCATTGGGAATAAACTCCGTAAAGGATCAGGCTCTGGCTTGTGATGCTATACACATTTATTGAATATTTAGATTAGCATCATAGTCCACAGTATATTTATTCTGATGTAAGTCCCACTGTTCGATATGCCTGAAAGATAAAAGAGAATATGTATAGCTCAGAGTAGAACTGTAGAGTCCTTGGGGTTCTCTTGTCTTGGTTTTTTCTTGCAAATGTTTCATTACCTGACTAGGTAACTGAAGATGTTACCTAGCCAGGTAACGAAACGTTTGCAAGGAAACAAACAAGCTCAGAGAACCCCAAGGACTCCAGTGAAAGATAAAGCCTTCCTCAAGTTGATCTTCATTTTGGGTGACTACATGGAGACCTCCATGCAGGATTCTGGGCAACATTACAGAGGTTGTTTGCCAATGCCTTCTTCCCAGATGGTTTTTTTTGACATCCCAGTCTAGCCTACTGCCTGAAGCTTCCTTGGTACAAGATTGGCCAGGTGTTTTTCCCTGGTGATACTCAATAGGATTTATTCTAATCAAAGGTTCACAGGCTTACAATAAAAGACTCCAACTGGATAGAAATGAACCTTTAAGAAATTACCATTAAAAGCAATAGAAAATCCTTCCAATAGGATTGTCCTATCAGATGTTTAAATTCTGAAATGCAACTCTGAAAATGGAGAAAAAGATGGAACAGTAATATTGTGCTTCTGATGTGATTTTTCAGTTATAAATTGTCCAGTCGAAGACATGAAGTTGATTAAAACAAAATGGCTCCATCAAATGTACAGTGAGAAAGCAGACTTTCAGTGATTCCCTGTCCCCTGCTAGAAAGTTGGGGGAATCTTTGAAATAGCATGGCATATACCACCGGGATTTGCTAGGTTGGGAGAGACAATGAATATCAAGAACCATTCCCTTCCTCTTTCTTGCTTTTCTCAGTGGAAAGATACCAGTGAATATTAGCAATAGAATTCAAATTAAAGTACAATCTTCAGATTCATAGCTAAATTCAAATAAAATTTACCTTGCTTACCATGTCATCTTTGACTAAAACCATAGAACTGATCTTAATTTTATTTATCTTAATTTGCCCTAATTTACAAATCATAAAGCTGTTAATTTAAGGTTACTTCTGTAAGATATTGTAATGTTTCACATTTGGATGATGCAGCAGCTTTCAAATATATAAGTATTACTAAATTATTAATAGCTCTCCCTACACTCTATGAACATTTATGGTACTTAATTGAAAAGAAAACTAGGATTTTCCCTAATAAATTTATCATTAAAATGGGATAGCTATTTTACTTGCTAAGAATATGTAATGGAGGCAGACATACATTTTTCTTTCTTCCTTGTTGGTTGGGGACATCTAAAATTCAAGATTATCTTTCTTTCAAGAAAACGTATGAATATAATACCATGATTTCAAATGGCAATTTCTCACAAGTAAAAAGACAAAAGGTTATAGTGATAATTGAATGACATTTTAGTTATTGGGTAAACCTTATTTTCATTCATTCATTCATCACATTTTGAGGCTGCCTGGTTCCTTGATGACTCTGGGTAGTTTACAAATAAAAAGACTATGTATATTAAAAGAAACACAACTGACTGGAAGAACAAACAGCAACTATAAACCAACTATAATGGAAGGAGGCTCCACAATCATCTTGTCCCCAAGGCTTGGGAGAGTGACTAGGTCTTTAACCATTTCCTAAACAACATATCAAATCAAATCTTTATTACAATCATAGACCAGCATAAGGAGGATGTGGTACAGTCATTAAAAAAGCATAAAGATACATCAAGAGTAAAAATAAACATCTAAAAAAATGTAAAAAGCAAGAAGATACACAAGATATATAAATTAAAAACTAAAGTATGTGTAAAAAGCAAGAATCTAAAAGAAGGGGTAAGAACGTTAGATGGGTGTAGGAGAGCATACAAGGTTAGTATGTGAAAGATTATATCACTCTAATATGGCGAGCTAGGTGGTCATTAAATCTAGCTTATAAACTTGAGCCCCAAGCACAGATCATCATCCAACAAATTTGGAGTGCTGCTGCCAGAACCTGGCAACATTGTATGTTGTAGCAGGGTTGGTATCTGAAACATAATGGTGGGAGCCACAGAAATCTCGGGAGTATTGTTCCAGAGGACAGATACTGCAACAGGGCTCTCTCATGCAATTCCTTTACAATTTATGATATCGCAGGTGGACATTTTATTTGTGTCTTTCTTTAAAATTAGTACAAGTACAAAGAAGGTTACCGTAAGCAAGTGGGACACCATGTTGGATTCCGGAACATCCATGATGATCCCAAGTTAGTGCTGGCTATGCGTGTAGCCAAACTGCAGAGTGAGAGGGAGTACAAGAAATATTTTGAGAAGTCTAAGACCAAGTTCAGTAGCCCAGTGGACATGCTGTCCATCTTGTTGGCCAAGAAATGTCAGAAGCTGGTTAGCGACATTGATTATCGCCACCACCTCCATGAATGGATATGCCTGCCTGACCAGAATGATGTCATCCAAGCCAAGAAAGCCTACGATCTACAGAGTGATGTGAGTAGAAAGTTCATTGCTTATATTATTGTACTTTGCCTATTGTTTTTGAAAACGTCCCTTGACTTTTGGCTGATTATTACTATTTGCTCTACAAAATTGAGCTATCTGTGTTGCCTCTATCATTACAAGCCATCTTTTTATGAATTAATCAATGTTCAACTTCTATAAGTATGACATTTATTATAGGAGCCATAACATGTAGAAAACTGCCATAACAGAAATTACATTTTCTAATCAGAATCCCACAGATGCATCCATGTAAATCAACCCCATTGATTTCAAAGAAATATGGATTTTAGGTCTCCAGTAAAGTATGATACCAGATATAAATATGAATGTGAAACTAAGTATTTGTCAAACTATGGAAAGAAAAGAGAAAGAGAAAAAGACATTAAGTTAAAACAGAATAAAAATTATAACAGTATAGTATTCTTTCCTATATATACTGTGCCTAATTCATTTACTCTTCCATGATATCTTTGTGGGCCTTGAGAAAAGAAGGGCAATTTTATCTTTCCATTAAAAGGAATGAGATATTGCCTGCTGGAAAAAGTGGTATAAATGGCTGTCAACTTTTTTTTTCCCCTGTCTATGCAGGCTATTTATAAATCTGACCTGGAATGGCTACGAGGAATTGGCTGGATGCCAAGTGGTTCTGTCTCTGTCAACCATGTCAAACATGCTCAGGAACTTCTTAATGAGGTAAGAGCTTTTCTTCCACAAAGTCTCTCTTATTTCATACACGAAAAGCTATTTATAAAAATATGCCGCTTTCACAATGCAGTGTTTTGCTCATACAAAACTATTTCTCCTTTTTCCTCGCCTGTTTCTATGGACTGAGTTTCAACTTACTTTCTTTCTTTCTTTCTTTCTTTCTTTCTTTCTTTCTTT